GTTACAGCAATTACTGCACGAATGTGAGTTAGGCGACAAGTCGCCTTCCCAATTATTACGCTACATGAGGCATTTGGCTGTACCTTATAAAGTTGACAATGTTTTTCTCAAGGAAATTTGGCTACAACGTTTTCCAACAGTAGTTAGGCAAATCCTTTGCGCTTCTAGTCAATTCTTAGATTTAGAGAGCCTTGCTGGTATGGCTGACAAAATGTAGAAGTTACACTCTGCACTATGCCTCATATACAGACAATATCAGAAACTTTGAACGCCAAGCAAACTCCTACCATAGTGTCGTTAACTGCTGAGTTAGGCGAAATGCAAGCACACCACGAACGAACCGTTGCCAGTCTCGAAAATCAACTAGACGCATTACAATTATTAATTTCCAATTTCACATCTCGAAGGCCTCGTTCTAGTTCTCCGGGTAGTAAGAATCGAGGTAGTTCAAAAGGAAATGAAAAGGACGTCCACATATGTTGGTACCACAGAAAATATGTTACGTCTTGTAAATTTTTCAAGTCGTTTTCCTCACCAAAACGTGTCAGCCAAACCATGGTAGCGACAAATGTTTCTCATCATGCATCTACTCGCCTTTTCCATGTTCTTGATAAAACGTCAAGGCACAAATTCTTAGTAGACACTGGAGCGGAAGTCAGTGTCATCCCAGTTACCTTAGCCAATAAACCTATTGATAAGAGTGGAAAATATACTCTAAGAGCAGCTAATGAAACCGAAATAAAGACATTTGACGAACAATTTCTGACATTAAACTTGGGAATTAGACGTCATTGAACCTGGGTGTTCATTAATGCGGATGTCCGCACAGATGACCCTGTGCGATACATTAAGTTTACATGGTTGCGTTGCTGATAAATTCACCCTTTTGAATGATGCTTTGATGATTCTGGATCCGTGAGATTCCCATCCTACAAGTGCATTTTGTGCTACTTTGGACAGCATTAGAAATACTCTCTGAGTGCGTGGAGCATTTTCTTTTTCGTGACCGGAGTACAGTAGCATCTCTCCCGTAGCTAGCTTTTTCTATCCAGTAGGTTTCGCTGATTCCCAGTAGTCAGGTTGTATTTCCGCATTTCCGTTGCATTTTGACTGGTTATCCCGGTCTTTCACATTGTTCGGACACTCCACGTACCTATTAAAATTTTTGCTCTGGTTGTTAAAAGGAGCATCGGCCTCCTGGCTTCCGAATGAACTCGGCTTTCACCATGAAGCGTCATAATTCTTCTAAATGAAGACCTTCTAACTCTCAGGGCAGAGTTTAAATGGTTTTAATGATTTTCTCTGGTAAGCGTTTTTTTAGCGAGTTAGTCTTCTACGGGATGGGGACGCTAACCTCATGCCCAACCCTCCTCCTTTAAACGGGCTTGAGACCGGCAGTAACTCTAGAAGAGCTACAAGTGGAGTTCAAATCGGTTGTCGCTGCCAGGAGCGCGCTAAACAACAAAAGAAACAGTTAATACCAAATGGTTTGATACCTAAGAATCAACACAAATATTCCCAACAAGATAGTATCAAATATCTATCTTCAGAGATTCCAGCAATCCTCCTAAGCAGACAGTCACAAAGTTGACAGTCACACACTGAATCACGCCATGACTTCGAGTTTAGTCAAACACGACCTTACTGCCAATAGTCCGTCGACATGCAATAAAAAATTAGGTAACAAAAGAATGAACAGAGATCCTACATCCAATGAGATCATATTTTTCATACTAACATTAATATTTTTCATTTTGGAGGCGAAGTTGAAGATATCTTTTACACTATTTCCAACAACTGATTTGTGTAAAGGTTCTAAGATTCGTACTAGCCACTTTGCAACTTTGTGGTAAGGAGAATTGTACATATCTAGAACTGGGCGTAAAGACCCGGTTTATGAACTTTAGGCAAACCATAAAGTCGTGGTGTTAATGATCCAGTCGCTTTGATTGAATCGTGAATCTCTTTTTCTTTAGATCCTTAAGGAAATTGGTCAGTTGTCTTTTTACTTTATTATTGATGTCACCATTACTAGTAATTTTCTGAAATTTGCTGTTCACCAATGTACCACTTATAGAGACTATTGAATTCATATGCAAGCAAATATCTGAAAAACAAATCAACATTGGCTTGCCTAACGATAGTCTTAAGGAACTACTCTTAAGATTCACGCTGAACGTACATTTTGTCTTCAACAATACCTATTATAGACAAATAGACGGGATAGCCATCGGCTCGTCTCTAGGCCCGATTTTAGCTGATCTATTCCTAGCAAAGCTAGAAAAAGAACCTCTCATTGAGACTATTAAGAAACTTGATTTATATTGACGCTACATTGACGACACCATCATTATCGTAGATCAAAACACCAGTAAGGAGGAACTCCTAGAACAACTCAACAGTGTTCACACAGCGATCACTTTCACTGGTGAAAGCGAGCATGATAAGAAACTGAATTTCCTTGACGTCACACTAAGCAGACGAAGTAACGGCACGTTAAGTAGAAGCATGTATAGAATAAACCCTTCTTCAGGCCAATATACTCACTTCTGCAGTTTTACATCGATCCGTTACAAGAGAAACATGGTCAGATGTCTCACTAGCAGAGCAAAAAAGATCTGTACAGTACATACTCTAAGTCAATAACTTGAATTTATCAACAACACACTGATCGAGATCGGCTACCCCAGTTTATCATTAAGAAGTACATGTATGACATAATAAAAACGTCGGAGATTTCAACTGTTCGTAAGAAACCTTTATACATGAAAGTGCAATTCAACGGTGATGTGGCTAGTGACACGCTGAAATATAGGTTAAATAAAGTAATCACAAAGACATTCTACGCAGCCAATCTTTCATTGACATTCTCCTGTCGACCAGCGATGCCTACTCAAACGAAGGATAAGTTACCTGAGTTGGCCTTTTCTATGTGCATTTACAAATTCAGCTGCTCCTGTGGAGATAGCTATATAGGGCGTACTACCAGGCAACTTAATCAACGGATGAGTGAACATCTATCAACTTGGTAAATGAAGGGTCAGATAAAATCTATTCGCAGTTCTATCTTGGCACACCTCATTGATAGCGGTCATGCTTTAGATAAATTGAAATCATTTCGAGTTATCTATCGTATACCTCCATAATTTTTCAACGGATTTCGTTCTCGCCTCCTACATATAGCTGAAGCCATTGAAATGCGTACATATAACCCCAATTTATGTATACAGAAGAAATGCGTAACCCCCCTATCCCTTCCATGGCAAGTTATAACTTAAATATCGAATTTTTTAAAATTTTATTATCATTATTTATTTTATTCTATTTTGTTATTATTGACCTTATTTTCACATCCATTATTTGTTTGTAATTTTCCGCCTCTTTGCATTCTTCACTATCTGATTATTCACACACATCTTATTACGTAATGATTTTAATGTTTTGGGATAACTATTCCTAGTCTATTTACCCATGTTTATTTGACCTTCTATTTCCAACGTTCAACCATAGATAAGAGTTTTGTTATTGTATTTTATTATTCTTACTATTATCAGTTCACCTGTCTTCCTACTACAAACTTGTACTCTTACCTATTATGTGTAGAGACTTTAGTAGGATCTGAACGGACCTCAAAATTGAAAGGAATAACAACGGACCCATGAAACATTGTAGTGCGAAACAATTCATTAGATACATGTTGCGAAATTTACGTACAAATTAGGTAACTGCTATCTAAATGTGTTACAAGTTAACAAAGATGTAGGCAATCAGGTACTCTATGATCTAAGGCTTCTCTCTAATAATGACGAGAATGCCTTTCGAGGTAGCCCTGCACTAGTGACAGTTGGCCAGTTTTTCAACAGAACTTACCATCTAGTCTCTAACATCTTTACCTAGCCTTATTTAGAGTTGATATGTGTTGTTTTCTCCCTCACTTCAGAAGAATAAGAATACAGTGGGACGTGTTCGAGTGTGAGACTCAAAATTGGTCCTAGGACTGAAATTCTAACATTGTGAAGAACTCTCTTAATCATCGGATGTTTACCTATCCGAGCATAGGCTTCTTAATGGTGACCCTCTCATAACCTGTGAAATCCTAGACATTCCTGACAACCTCCTTATATACTTACATAAGCTCGTTCCTAACAACGAGTCACCCTTGTACATAGTTCTGGTACGTTTGCTTGCAGTGAATAAAAATAAACCTATCGCATCAATGAAAGAGAAGCACAAGACCCCATCAAAAATAAACACAGAGGTAAATATATCAGTCCTCAACAGAATATCAGAGCCGTCAAACACAGCCCCAACCAAACTCACAGCAATGACAGCCACAACCTTAACTGATGTGCTGATGAAACTACTGACTTTTGTTTATAACCTAGCAAGAAGCATTTAGTGTTGTGGAAGGGAATGGCGAAATCACGGCATGCAGCCTATTCATAGCGTGAGAATACTGGACGACCTACTGGGATCACAAAATACGTATACATGTAATATTCTTCCACTTCACATGTTTGATAAATCTCATTGCAAGAGAAGATAAAGCTGTGGCAGAAGATCAAAATATTTTAAGCACGAGGCAGATGTGTTGGAATGAGTCCAACTACGAGGGACTAAAGTGGAAAAACGTCTATCTGGCCCGTCTTATGAAGGCAGACTGAGACACCTTAACTTATTCCTGTTATCCTACCATAGAATACGGGATGATCTAATATTGGCTTATCGTATACTGAACGATGAACTTGTTATTAATGTTTTATTCTTTCTTCCGTTTTGGACTTATCATTTGACAGGACATTCGTAGAAAGTTCAAAAGCCTAGATCAAATCGTCTACGTTTGAAGTATCGTTTCTAGCAACGATTAGCGAATTTCCAGAATTCTAAACCAGGGCATGTAATATCAGTAAATTTCGTTGATATATTCAAAACGAGATCGGACCTCCACGGTGTTACAAACTGCAAGGATTAATAATGTCTATAGACATTTTAAAAACTGAAGTCACTCAAGGTTGCTGAAACGAAATAGCGGTAGATTCGACTCCGAACTGACTTGTGTCAGTTTGACTTCTGGTATCAAATGTCAGATGCTTCTTAATGTCCTGTTTATGTTATTTCTGATTAGTATCATTTGATCTTCTTATTAAGATTTTGTGCAATCTCTGTGGTTTCCGAGTCTTTGGCTTAATTCCTCTATGTTTTTTCTCTTCCAGACAACATACAAGGTTCCTTTTGGCTACACATAAAATTGACAGACGCTGAACGTTCAAGTGAGTTGGTTTCGGATCAGTTTATATCTCACATTACATAAAATCAAAACTTAAGCGTTAGGTAGTTGCTCTGCTGTCAGCAATCCTTTTTAGGTTAACCACAATGGAAGTATAACATACAATGCTTATGGGTTTCCTGATATATCTCTGTTATATGCTTATATTTGATCATCAGATTTCTACAAAGCACTTCAGTTTCGTCAAAAAGTTATTGGTCAACGCTAGAATCACTCGACGTCCGTATATATACACGAAAATACCTGGTTTTGTTCACTGATATCGATGCACTAACCATAAATGTCCCTTATAAAAACGTTCATGTCAAAGACGCTTTTGACGAAGACATCGCAGAGAGACAATCCTTAAACAATTGGCTAGTTTTTGGCTATTTTCTAGGCGTTCAGGAAACATCTTTTATGATTAGATTGTTTATGCAAAAGCCATCCCAAAATGTCAGACTTTACATAATACTTGGTCTAGTAACGGATGACTTCTCGTCAATCGAGAAGACGAATAAATACAAACTTGTGAATGTAAATTGTACATATCCTTATTTCCACGATTAAGTGCTCAGGTTTAGGAGATTTAGGTGAGACTGTAATTTTGGCCTACTTTTGAGCGACACCAAATCGATCTTGAGTGTCCACTTAATACCTAGGACCAAATAAGTTATAAACCAGTTTGAGGTTAGTAACTAGATCTAGGGTTTTCATCACAAACTAACATCAGCTATAATACCAGAACTCTGTTTTGCGAAACGGATGAGTGGATTTCGCGCCAAAATCAGAGACCATTTATCTTATACCTGGTTTGCTAGTCCATAAATTATCGTCTCGCTAGGGATTTCATGTGTTTAGGACCATCGTTTTTATCATATAGTGGCGAAAAGTTATTTGTTGCTAAATAAATATTTAAATTTCACTTGGTGACCTAAAACTCGCTTCCTCTATTTTGAATTATTCGTTCCTAAAATATTTTCTTGTCGACTTTCTATGGTTGAGTCCGGTCACTTCATTTTAATCTAAGGAAATTTTAACTGTTGAAAGCAATATGCCCTTACAAACTTACTCCTACGTCGTTAATTGCCCTTAGTCATAAAGTTTCTATGCAATACTTGTCAAATATTTTATATTATTTTGTTTTCAGTACAATCTAAAAGACTTCAACCTCTCTATAAAGTGATCATTTTGCAAATGAGTAAAATTACATCGGTTAGGTAATTTCACTCTTAATACATAGTGAAAACAAATATATACGCGCTTACGAAAGATTATAGATAATGCTTGACCTACCATATATAAAGCTAATTTGTGCTTAGTCTTTCCACAATTTTTTCCAGCTTGAAGACTAATCTGAGCACAGTAATAGGTCTTGGCCACAAAAAACTAAAAGGTATGAGGATGTTGATCTTCAAATGCTAGTTTTGTCTGGTCAATTTCTATTTTCTGCGTTGCAGTTTCAAACCACGTGTACCCTAGCACCAAAAACCAAAGCAACTTTCTCGTAGTCCATCATTTCCTCTTGAAATTGTTCTTACACTCGTATATGGATAGGATTATTAACATTAACTCAGTTCATTTTCTAGGTTCATGACGGAGTTTTTGAAAGCCTACAGATGGTTTATTTAAATATAAGTAAATATTAAATGAGAAAGCGCCACTAGTGTTCAGTGTTGAGTTAGCTCAAAGCAAAACAGTTTTGATATGAGGAATTCAGTTAATTTTGCCGAACTAGCGTAAAACTTAAGGGGCAAAGTATTAATGTGACTATCTCTTTCCCTTAATCACCTCAGCATGGTCGGTACCAGACAGGGTCTTTTTTCCTCTTGAATTACTCTCGTATAGCTGTGCGCTTATAACTGCTCTCCAAAAAAGCTCAACTCCACGTTCACCTGGTGTGAAAGTGTTTACAAAATTGAAATGGACATAGCTGCCTGCCCCTTGAACTTGCTTTCTTAATGTGGGATTGACAAATCTTGGTTCTAAAACACCAACTCAAGCAAGTCTCAAGATCTAAAAAAATGCTTGACTTGGGAACCAAACATAGTTAACGGTGTCGTTCGACCCCGCTAATTGTGAAGTTCTGTTTCACTTTCTGTCATTGAAAGGTGTATCAAAGAAGTATGCTAATGTTGTACAGGCATCCCACTCGAACACGACTGGTCGAGTCAGAGCTTATAGCGAACTGTCGCCGGAATAGGTTAATTCAAGTGGTTTCTTCAGAGTTGTTCGCTTTCCCATTTGTATTCAACTGTCATAAATATGCTTTTAGAGATAACACTGCACCTAAATGCAGAGTACTTTTATAAGACTAACAGGCATCTGTCCCTGCACTTACTCGTGGGAGTGGGCCGTTAGAAGTAGTTGAAAAGTTCTTTTATCTAGTTAATCGTGCATGTGTTGGTTGTTAATGTCGACCAATGAGTGCGAACTAACCAATAATATTTATGTTAAACGTCCACCTTCTTAGGCTCAATTTTCAACTGGTTATGTTTATTTAACTACCAGTGCCGAAATTACATCAACTCTTTGCATAAACTTGGTTAGCCCTCTTTTTGATTCACTTTATTATGCCTCTGCTACTATTCGGTGTTTGTTTATCGTCCCTTTTGTAATTGACCGTACTATTCTGTTTTTGCTCTAATTGTAATAATTTGTGTTTTAGAAACAGTTTATAATTGTTGTTTATAAATAGTTACTTGTGTTTAACATTGGCGTTGCTGGGGCTTTGCGCTACAGTATAGGAACTTATTCAATTCATTTGTAGGCATATTGAATCCTGAACTGGTTATCAATTTGCGTTTAGTGAAAACCAAAGTGCTATGTGTCAATCTGTGCCTTCTATGGTGCTGTCGTAATACTTGTCTGACTGTAAAAGGTAGGGTGAGATCAGCGATGCTGTATGCTCGTAAAGCATGTCCCTTCCGAGTTTACGATATTAGGTGTGTTAAGTCATCATTGTCTCTAAAAGATCGTTAAAATTCAGTGACAACGCCATATTAGTAGTGCGGAAATCCAGCGGGTTTTTTTCGAAACAATGGTCATGATGTGGTTGACGTCACAATTTGTAACGCTGACTCCATTGACTTCCACATCGTGCCTTATTTCCCTAGGTTGGGGCTTGTAGAAAGAGGTGGTCAGTTTAAGACTTGGTACCGGGGTATAAAAGAAAACTGTACAAGACTGATATCCGTCAGTTCATCACAACTACCTGGTTTGGGTCCAAGCAACTCGGTAGGTTGAGACGTTATCAAACATGGACCAGATCAAAGCACTATGGCTATACTGCTGTAATTTTCCACTACATTTTTCATAAAAGTAAAAACGTAATCCTCTTAACCGAAATAGGTCCTCAGTTGTGTTTTCAACTGAACTTTTTCTCCTATTATATACTATTCTTGTTCATTTATTCTTTTTTTAAAAATTTTTTCACTCACCTTCCTTGTATTTCACAATTATATGTTCTTGTGTGGCAAATACTTTTCCTAGAGCCCAGTTTTATCAAACTATGTGTGTAGTAAATAAAATTAACCGTCAAAATCTATCAAATCAAAAATAGTGGATTATGACTAGAACTTACTTGTGAGTATATATATTCACAAAACCATTTGTTTAGTTTCGATGTTCAATTCCTGACTATTACAAGACAAATTTATCTATTATTTTATTTATTTATTTATTTCAACACATAAATATTGGTACAATGGGGCACCAAATATGTATGCGCCACACTATATTTGTGTGTGTGTGTGGCTGTGATGCTGCCCGGGTGCCCAGACCGAAGCAGGTGGTTTTCTTAGCGAGCCGCACCCCGAACCTTTGACCTAGATGTCTAACCCACAAGGCGGTGGAGCATCGTGAAGAGATGCATTCCCATGGCAGCTGGTGACCGAAAATTGGTTCATACGCCATTTTTTCCCGCAGGATACTGGAGCCCACGTGCACCATTGGTTTGGAATCCGGTTAAAGCGCTGGACATTCTCTTTTCGTTCTCTCATTTTCGTAAACAACACCCCCGCCACGGGAAGGCAGTGAGTAGGACTTCCCTAGCAGAGGCTGTACATGCGTGGCCATGTGAGAGCACTTCGAGGGGAATGGAGGGCCCACCCCACTCTCGGCCATATCAGGGCATTATTTTTCCTATTGTTGATTTGTTAGCCCTAATTCACAATTAATGGACATTTTAGGTGACTTTTTAAATAGTTTTATGATTAACATTAGCTTGCCTTTATTCAGAAGTCGATTTTAAGTATCCATTAAAAAACCAATTCTTATTATTGTAGATACTTTTGAACTATGAGTACACAACTATCAGAAACTCCTTCAAAATCACGAAAACCTAGAGATTCTGCTTTTTTTCAACAAAAACTCCCAGCATGGCAACCAATGTTCACTGCTAAAAAATCTGGAATAGCTTTCACTGTTTTTGGAATTGTACTGATACCTATTGGTATTATATTACTAACGGCATCAAATAATGTTGTAGAATATCTTGTGGACTATACAGATTGTACTCAAAATGGTACTGAAGAGTTATGCTCTCAAGTAATTGCCTTGGGGAAACCATGTGTTTGTGTTAAACATATTTCTGTTGAATCGTCCATTCCTGGACCTGTTTATTTATATTATGGTTTAAGCAACTTTTATCAAAATCATCGGCGATATGCACGATCTAAAAATGATGAACAGTTGCTTGGTATTTATCAAGACCCAAGTGCATTAGCTTCGTGTAACCCATACGTATCAATTGAGGGTAAACCAATACTTCCATGTGGTGCAATCGCAAACAGTATATTTAATGACACATTTATTCTGACATATATACGCAATGATAATACCAAAGTTACTGTCACAACCACATCAAACGGTATAGCATGGCCTTCCGATGTCAATCGTAAATTTGGGACCTTGAATGCAAACGGTTAGTTAAAAATATCTATTTTTTCATATTGAATTGGTCTACATTTCTAAACCATAACTTATTACATTGATATGGTCGGTAAACTTATGTATCTTTTCAGACTTAGGCCAGCTAGTTCCAAACTAGCTCTGTAGGAACTCACATAAATGTAGCTTAGATGAAATATGGAGGATGAAAGTTAGTTGTGGATGAATCTTTTTCACATCTATCCATCTACTGATATTAGTTTTCTGTTATATAATGATCAGTTCGTGCAAAGTTTACTCTCAAAATATCATTTCACTGAAATAAGCAGTAACCTAATTTAACAACTTCTTTTTAAAATTTAATGGTACTATGTAAAAATATTTATGTAAAAGACAAATCATATACTTCTGCTGCATTACTATAATTAAGTCCCGGGATTAGGTTAGGGTCCCGTAAGTAGATAGTCATCGTCACATAATTAACCAGTGCTTCCAGGTTTCCAAAGGTGGTGGTCTAACATCAATCGGTTCATAATCTCAATGAAAAACTTAATAATCTACACAAACCCTATACTAGTAATCAACATGTGCTCACTAGTGACTAGCTTTGTGTAGGAATTCTCGGAGTTCTAGTGAGAAGCCGTGACCAGTGGAGCTAATCCATATCAGATAGAGACAAATATCTACCTCAGTACAACGGAAGTTGGTCGCGAAATTTCGTGGATTGGTTGATGTAATACACTATCACCATTGGATGCCGGCTCAGTGGTCCAGTTGGTTAAGCGTTCTCGCTCGAGACCGAAGGCCCTGGGTTCGAATCCCGCGAGCGGGATCGTGGATGCGCACTGCTGAGGAGTCCCACAACATAAAGAAGCGGCCGTCCAGTGCTTCCAGGTTTCCAAAGGTGGTGGTCTAACATCAGTCGGTTCATGATCTCAATCAATAACTAAAATATATCGACTACCAGGACACTTGGAACACCATACATCTTATCCTCCTTTGAATCCTTGTAGTTTGGGCATCAAACAACTGACTTGCCTATGAAGGCATTAAAATTCATAAAACAGCTTTGAAATAAGTCTACTAATGAACAATTTCCAGAATTTATATAACCTGGACCGTCATACTTCTCAAGCCAACTTACTTGATATAATATCCCAGATAAAATGTTAGGTTTAAATGAAAAGGTTAGCGGTATAGGCAGACTGACATCGTCATCATAGGGCCTGGCATAAATATGCGTTTCTCTAATTGATCATACTATATCATCACGACGGGATAAAAGTAACATACGAGATCATAATAATGTAGTAGTAAGGATAAATAGAGATTCAGTCTGGGTTATATGGTTTGTAAAACCAGAATAGAAAGGTATATATGAATGTATAATGAGATCGTGTAACATTTGAGACGATGCTGTTCGTATGCATTCTCTTCAGTCATCTGGAATTAGCAACGACACATGAGGAAATATATACCGTGAAACGTCCAGTAAAATTAACATTAACAGGGGTCCATAGTTCTCGCAAAGTGATCAGGTTCGGTAATATTGTTCATGCGTTTAAGTTTTTTCGATAAATCGAATTGAATTCTTTATCACTTTCAAATGAAAAATTGGCTCGCACTCATATTGACCATGTTATGATATTTATTTTCTTACATTGAGAATTGTTGAATGATCTCAATCAGTTTGATGATTTTTGTTGTTGAAATATCTGATATTTAATAATTTTGATTATTTATAGCTCTCAATAATACAATCAAGCCACCTAATTGGCCTCAACCAATTCAAGCTAGATCTTCAAGTCCATTTAAAACTGATGAAGCTCTAATAGTATGGATGAGAATAGCTGCTTTGCCAAACTTTCGTAAATTAAGCGCTTTTGTAGTTCATAAAGATGATTTCGCAAATGGTCTACCCTCAGGAACGTATGAAATTGTTATTAACTACTGTGAGTATTTTTTTATTTTGTTTACTGAAATTCGCTCTCCATTGTATCTAATTCTCTTTAGATGAACTTCACGAATTGTATTTATTTATTTATTTTAACACATAGGAGGCGCCAAATACATATGCGACACACAAGTCTCATTTGATATGTGTGAGGGCTGTGATACTGCCCGGGTGCCCAAACCGATACAGGTGGTTTTCTTAGGGGGCCACACGCGAAGCCTTTGACCTGAAGGTCTGATCCACATGGCAGTGGAGCAACGTAAGGAGATGCAGTCCCATGGTAGCCGGTGACCAACGATTGGTTCATACACCATTTGTTCCTTCAGGATACTGGAGCCCATGTACACCATTGGTTTGGAATCAGGGTTTTCCAACTCCCTTAGGTAGACTCTCCATGTCCACTTCACGAATTGACATGTTTATAGCTGGTAAAGACTAGATAGATGTTTAACAATGGTTTCATCTTTTTTCGTAGGATGTATCCAATACTCTCCGGATATCAATAAAACTCATTTGCTTTCTACTTTTAAGACGATCAAAGTAATAAGTACACAACTATTATTAATTTAAATGTAGTTTGATTTACTGAGCCGTTTCAAATTATATCATAACAATTGTTCGGTGGTTTTGTTTTAGTTTTAACAAAGTATGATTTTCGGTACTAGTTATGAATTAAATATCAGTCTAGAGAAAGAAAGTATATTGTTGTTTTACCCAACTAACTTGCTTCTGTAGTTTTCATCACCCTAGATAGGGTGTGTTTCAAACCTGGAACTTTTTGTCTGAAGGTCGGTCCCCTAAACCACTACTCCACAGTTTCATTGAATAATTAACAATATTCAGTTCCCAATTTCATTGATCTGTATTGATTGGAATGACTTTCAATCATGAGATTGTATAAAAGATTTGTAACTCAACGGGACGATTTTACTGAAATCACTTTCTCTAACCCAAATGATTCTTTGCCTTTCCAGGAAACATCGTTAAAAGCACTAACCTCAGACAGAAGCGAGGTATGGGAATTTCGTCATGAATGACTAACATCTTGTTGGTTGGTTCGTTGTTGTTGATTCTTGTAATTGTATGCATATTTATCTTGATCGTCTCACGCTTTGACCTGCTTCTTGATCTTACAAATTTTTAGGATTTCTCTAACTGTGCAGACTATGACAACAAACTGTTAGTTTCAACATTGATAGGACAAGCTGCTAGTCACTTCTCACTTCTATCTGAGGTTTGTGTTTCTAACGATGTTGCCCAAAGTTTAAAAAAAAGCTTCACAATCAAACCACTTAGTTCAGAGAAATAAAATTAAAGTTACCAGCACATACAGAGCTTCGTTAACTATCAATAAAATCTTGACGCAAATTAAGAAAGTTTGATTACTGTTCCGTCCTTCAGTTAACACTATCCTCTTCTGTAGTTTCACAATATTCTGTAGGAGAAGCTAAAGTGTCAGAAGTGGTACATTCAAATTATTATTCATATATGAGAGAAAACAGTGTTCTATAACTGTAAGCTTGAAGTGTTAGACGGTGACTATACTTGAAGCATGTAGTATACGCTCACAAGTCACTAGTGTCCTCTCTCTCTCTCTCTCTATATATATATATATATATATATATATATATATATACCATTTCAAGTGTATGGGATTTTCAGTCAGTCAGTTACAACGTAGTACCAGACACATACATTCATCTGTCCAAGTTGCCAAACCTCATTAGCACAGCAAGACGAACATTGGATTCATAGAAACAGTTAAATCAATTGTGTAATATATAAGGGAAAGGTTTTATGTAAGGATATAGTACAGAAAGGTATGAAGTAATTTTAATCTCATAGTTTAAGGGAAGACAGAAGGTGTATACATCTACGCCATTGTGTTCGATTCTGAGCCATGTTACTCAGAGTCTCCAACCATTGATTACGATAGTCACACGGACCCCAACCAAGTAGTCTGCATCCACCAATATGGGGTTTTATCTATATTTTAAGAAAGACAAACATCATAACCTAATATTACATTCCTGACTAGATTGTTGAGTGAAGAATGATTCAGTGTGATCAAGTTAATCAGAAGAGTAGCTTATCTATTGACAATAGTAAGTAGTCATAACCACCTTTATTAATCCTATACAAACAAATTGTATCAAACCTTATAGTTTTTGTGTTATCACTCGAAAAAAAAAACAGTGGTTGGGATACGTGTTACGTATGCCCAACCACTGACTACCCTGACGTGCGATGTTTTGTGGCGTAGGAGTAGGTTGGAAGAAAGCTAGGGACGGCCAGACCAAAACATGGCACAAGTCCATGAAGTCACTGACAAGTGGAATAAGCCATGTTGGTAGGTGTAGACTACCGGGTTGGGATCCGCGAGATGATAGCAACCGATTTAAGAGACCCTGAATGACATGGCTCAAAATCGTTTGCAATGGCACAGGTACATCCACTCTTTGTGATCTCCTAAATTCTAATCTTCTGACTTCTTCATGTCTCTTTTTTTCCCTTTCCAAATTTATTTCACTAGATTATACTCTTAAAATAACATCTTAAAAGCCTAATGTTTCTGATGACTGCTTACCGCCTCTACCACTACGGGATTTGAATCAACAACTGCATCTCTGTGCTAATGTAGTATGGCAACTCGAACTGATGTACGTGCGTACGAAGTTCTACATTGTTACTGACTGACTGATTGACTTATGTTATCACTTTGATTACTTATTTCACAATGTCATTCACATTGATATCCTCACTTTATTTTATTTTTTCATATTCAGTTTATCCAGTTACTTCATTTGGTGGTAGAAAAACATTTATATTAGCCAATGCTAGTTGGTTAGGTGGAAAAAATCCAACACTTGGAATTATTTGTTTAATTACTGGTTCTATACATATATGCCTTGGTATAGCATTCCTTATTGTGCATTTTGTATATGGTAAACGGTAAGTAAATGATATGTATAACCTTTTTTTGTTGTTGTTGGAACTGTATTATTGTTAGCAACAAATAAATCACTATGTCATATCTCTGTTGCTACTAGAATGGTCTTTAAATTATCTGGGTTCTTTTTTAATACTTTTTTTTGATGACTAGTTGTTTGAATGTGTGAAAAGTACTCCAGTTACTTTTCTTTCAATTTATATCATTCTAGTGACCTCTATTGTTATCTATTCAGTTTCTTTCCTTTTTGTTGTGTTCTTTGATCATAGCTGTGACTATATATAAATAGAGTTGTTCGATGACTATTTCCATTTCTTGAAATATCAGGTGTTTCTGGAGTACTTGACTTCTGTTGTATTGCATATAGGATTATTGTTGAATTACTGCGAATTATTTGTCTAGTCTGTATAATATACATATAGATCCTGTTTCGTACAAAAAGAATCTCTTAATCCTTTGCAACTCGGAATTCTCTTAAGCTATTATAGAGTAAGGGAGTTATACTGGAACAAAGTAAATTGTTCTTCTATTGATATCTCAGTTTCCAATATATATATTATAGGGTTTTTTGAAGATTGTTTTAATATGTAGGTAGTAATCGTCACAAATTGGCATCTTTTTAAGTGCCGTTGAAGACCACAGAGCACTGAGTGTCTGTCTTGTTAGCGCGCACACAACCCTACAAGGAATCGTGCTGAAGACCTTCAGGATTTGTGGCGAGCTCTTGGTCATCAGCACCTCCAGCGCAGAATTCAGTGGTACAGTTCTAACCTCAACCTATTCGTCATATAACACTGCGACCAGTTATTGCTATTGGGAACAGTTGTTTCCTGATAAATTAGCAGGGGTTCTACCTACACCGTTTAAGGATGACTAACTATTGATCCTAGCTAATTATAAGATTATCACACCTCCACTGTTCAGCATAAGTAATTTAGATACAACATAAATTCTGATTTCATACACCAATCAGTCTAATATTATTTATTTATTTAAACACAAACATTAGGGGTCCACACTTTGAGCTTTCGTCCTAAAGGTTTGATCCAGAAGGCACTGGGACAACGTTTGGAGATGCAGTCTTATGGAAACCGATCACCAATGATTGGTTCATACGCCATTTGTTCCATCAGAATCATGGAGTTCATGTGCACCAGTTGTTTGGAATGAGGGTTTTCCAACTCTCCCAGATAGACTCTCTGTGTCCACGAACCCGGTTAAAGCGCCATCCTCTCAATTTCGTAAACAACAGTAATGCCACGAGAAGGCACTGAATAAGGATTCCCTGGCGATAGTTGTATGCATGTGGCCATATGAAGACATTTCGAGAGGAAGAGCTGAATCTCCCTGTTATGATTTTATCTCCGGCTTTTATCACGTGATCTATTCACCAATGGAAATACGACTTATACAAATCTTAGCACTATGTCAAACCGATGACGTTCGACCGGTATGAGCAGCCTAGCGTCCTTATTGGTCCTATGTCTCCCTATCCCGTCCGCTTGAATCCAGAACACAATACCAGCTTCTGCAATATGAATCAAATCGTTTATTTCAGACATACTGGGTTTACATATCAACCAGACAGACCACAACGTACCATAAAATAGAAAATAACATTTGTACAATATTTGGCCAAATGTGGCTGTGAGCGTGGGCGGCAGTAGTCAATAAAATGAACATAGCTTAAGAACCGTAAATCGCACAATAATAAATTATAGGTCAAAATAAAGCTCATAATAAGAGGAATATGAATACCTATAATGTAATTATCAAATAATTATACAATAAGAATATTTGTAAAATATTAGTCCATTAACAGTCCTCGGAAGTTACCCGTAATTTATTCTTCGCTCGAATATAACACTCCCCACTCTTGATATATGGGGACAGTCTAATACTGCATGTCATGTCAAAAAAATATCAACATCCTTAGTTCAACTAATTCATAAAACAAAGCTCTTATTGCGTTCTCGCTGCAGGGGTTTTGCTTACAAAATTGAGAGAACTAAAAGCTAATGTTCGGCGCTTTAACCGGGTTGGTGGACACAGAGAGTCCACTTAGGGGAGTTGGAAAACCCTCATTCCAAAGCACTGGTGCACATGGTTTCCATGATCCTTAAGGAACCAATGGCGTATGATTTAATCGTTGGTCAGTGGCTGCTATGGTACTGCATCTCCTTACGTTGCTCCACTGCCTTATGGATTAGACCTTTAGATTGAAGGCTCCGAGTGTGACCCTCTAAGAAAACCACCCGCTTCAGTTTGGGCACCCGGGCAGTATCACAACCCACACACAAATCAAGTAACTTGTGTAGCGCATATATATTCGGTGCCCATTTGTACCAATATTTGTGTTCAAATAAATAACATCCTGGAAACTCCTATTCTTAGTAACTTCTTTTCTAAGACAGCTTTTTCTACTGTGATTATCTACATATTTCACATTATGACATTGTTAGGACATAATTACAATAAAACTTCCGGGGATATTAATTTCTCACTTATCCTAAGAGTAAGGTAAACATGTAATTGAATGATTAGTGTACATTAATCTATACCATTAATACATCATATTCACTTTCATCTTTTATTCTATTATACTATAAATGATATACATATTATAGTCCAATATTTCCTTCATCCGTTTGTTTAATTCGATGTGCAAATTAAGTAAGTAAAAATTGATGAGATTCTATTCTTTATAACAACAACAACAACAGAATCATCATTTTCTATAATTGAATAAAGCTTTTCCCAGGGGATGGGGGAGAGTAAACACTCTCGTTTCCATCTTATTTTCTTTTCATCATCATTATCATTAAAAGTAATATAATTCATTACATTCAATCATTTCTTATTTATCTATTATGCATGCTACTTTGATTTATAATTTTATTATCTTAGACATCTTAATGTGCATCACTTGGTCATCGTATTCAGTCTTAGATCTATTAAGGCTTAAGATTGATATGTATCTTTCAATAGTTATAATATGTAGTACTTCTACTTACTTACTTACTTACTTACTTACTTACTTACTTACTTACTTACTTACTTACTTACTTACTTACTTACTTACTTACTTACTTACTTACTTACTTACTTACTTACTTACTTACTTACTTACTTACTTACTTACTTACTTACTTACTTACTTACTTACTTACTTACTTACTTACTTACTTACTTACTTACTTACTTACTTACTTACTTACTTACTTACTTACTTACTTACTTACTTACTTACTTACTTACTTACTTACTTACTTACTTACTTACTTACTTACTTACTTACTTACTTACTTACTTACTTACTTACTTACTTACTTACTTACTTACTTACTTACTTACTTACTTACTTACTTACTTACTTACTTACTTACTTACTTACTTACTTACTTACTTACTTACTTACTTACTTACTTACTTACTTACTTACTTACTTACTTACTTACTTACTTACTTACTTACTTACTTACTTACTTACTTACTTACTTACTTACTTACTTACTTACTTACTTACTTACTTACTTACTTACTTACTTACTTACTTACTTACTTACTTACTTACTTACTTACTTACTTACTTACTTACTTACTTACTTACTTACTTACTTACTTACTTACTTACTTACTTACTTACTTACTTACTTACTTACCCCTGTTACACCCAATGGAGTATAATCAGCTTAGCAGCATTCTCCAACCCACTCTGTCCTGGACTTTCCTTTCTAGTTCTATGCAACTGTTTTTCATTTTTCTCATGTCTGTCTCGATTTCTCGGCGCAATGTGTTTTTTGGTCTTCCTCTTCTCCTTTGGCTTTAAAGATTCCAAGTGAGGGCTCGCTTTATAGTTTGTATTATTCTATCTAAATTGGATATGGTTTGTCTTTTTTACTCTAAATAAGTGTAATGATTTAGATAAGCAATCCATATTAGTGCATAGAGTTTCAAGCTTCAATCCTTGCGCTTAGGAAATTTGTTGGTTAAACATTGTATGATGTTCTTTTTGGATTCTGTTTAGACTTATATCAGAATATATACTATTCACTATTAGTCAGTTGTAACATTATGTAATCATTGCATATATATATGGAAACACTGCTGAGGAGTCCCAAAATAGGACGAAACTGTCGTCCAATGCTTCCAGGTTTTCCATGGTAGTCTACTCCCAATAGACTCATTATCTCAACTATTAAAATTACTATAATATCCACAAAACCCCTTCTGATACTAAATTAACTTTTTGGTTGATCGATTTTATCATAAAAATTAACAATGAATGATTTTCTTTGATTAGATATCTTAAACATCCACTTTAGTGATATAAATTGTTAACTCATACACGAAATATTGAGAAATATGATGTGTAGGATCTCAGGTTCAAACCTTAATTTGCTAAGTTTTGTTTAAGCATTTAAGTAGTACTTTTGTGTATATTATTTATGTTGACAGATATAAGTAGTTCTTGTTCACTACATTACTAACAGCTTTCATAAAAATACCGGAAGATCGAGTAAATGAGTCTATACGTGGTAAATGTTCATATTGGATCCTCTAGAAAAATTACTTATAAGTTATTTTGAATTTTCATTTCTTCCCAATATTTCATTGCGGTAACCATCATTCATTTTTACTAATAATTAACGACGCTATGTGTTGCTATTTCGGTATGTTGATTGCTTGCTTTATTTTCAACGAGAAAATAACCTGCTTTTAACAACATGGTGAAGTCCCTAAATGAACTTCTATAGTGTCTGCAGTTTCTACCCCACAGCAAAGTTAATTATTTTTGTTTATTCTATGGAAACCATCTACTTATTGCGTACACATTTATTTTATGGTATGTTCACTACAATACCCTACTTGTAGCTGATTTTTTTCATTGATGCTTTAAATAAGAATGCCTAATTCTAGTCAAATGGTCCTGTAGTCCTGCTTCTTTGACCTGAAGGTGTCGTTCACAAGGCTGGAGAGCAACGTCAAAAGGTATAGTCCCATAATGGTTGATGGCTCATATGTCGCATTGGATTTGAGTCAAAGTTTTCTGTTTCTTTTTGTTTCCACCAACCTAGTTTAAGCTCCAAACGACCCCTTTCACCCTCTCATTATCAAAGAAATGCCTTTGGTTTGATGTAATGTGTAGAAATTTCATGCAAAATATTAAATATTTTCAGCCATGTGAGAGCATTTAAATGAGGGAGTGGACGTACCTCATTTTCAGTTGTACTAAAGATTTGGTGGCATAAAATTCAATCAGGACAAGTCATTTCTTCTGTAAATACCTTTGAATCCTATGTTGTATGTTGAATTTTTATGTTTGTAAAACAAGTCATTAGGACTGCCTCTATTACGTCACTGGGACATGTTGCGTCGCAAAATCAACTACCCCATCTTTTTTTAGTGTTTATATTTATCATAATCTTGGTTTAAAATATTGATGTGTGGTAGTTAAAGTAACATATGGTTGGCCATTGAATGTGAACTGATAGACATTATCTATTTAATATGTGATCTTTTCATCACTGATTTCTACTCTGAACTCATTGGACATTGGCTGCTTCTAGTTATGTTCAGTCAGTCAGTTAGTAACAACGTAGAACTTAGTACGTACGTACATCAGTTCGAGTTGCCACACCACCTTAACACAGAGATGCAGTTGTCGATCCAAATCCCGTAGTTGTAGAGGTAGCAAGAGTGTAAGCAGTGATCGGGAAGATTAGGGTTTGGAGATGTTATTTAACGAGTATAATCCAGTGAAATAAATTTGGAAAGAGGAAAAAAGGGACGTGAAGAATTCAGAAGATTAGAATTTGGGAGAACACAAAGAGTGGATGCACCTGCGCCATTGCAAACGATTTTGAGCCATGTCATTTCTAGTTATGTTACATAATGTCTAGTCTTATTAGTCGCAGTTTCTCACAATCACAGCCACTTTTTTTGTCTTGATCTTGGTACAACTGTTATTCTCTATTTTATGGTGTGATATGGTCTGATGTTGCTTGTACATAAACCAAGTATGTTTGATTTTTATGATTCAATATGAATGAATGCGGACATTTACTTTTTAGAGTGAATCGGCGTCTGGGTTAGACGAGGCTTCACGTATTGGTTTATGCCTGATTGGTTTGATGAATAAGTTGGTGACTTTAATTGATGATCATATCTCGTGATATATTAACAGGGCAAAAAGGTCACAAGTTATAACAAGACTATATTCTAGTTCACCATTTTCGGTAGTGGATCTTGTATCTAGTATAACATCGTCCAGTTTGTTTATAGTGTACCGATCGACCATTCAGCCTAGTGTTAGTATAATCTTGTTCACCGGTCCTATTACCGTATTACAGTAGTATGTTGTAAGAACTAGAAAACAAGTTTTATTTGACTGTTATATTAAATATTTGGTACTATTGATTCAACTACCTAAGGTTTTGATAGTTCACTTGAGAATTATGTGTATATCAGTCAATAATAATCAACCTTTAACCTAGCATAGATCCAAATTAGTCCAAGTTACCTCATTGTGTTTTACTATTAACTAATTCGTCTCATCTACCGATGAGCACTCACATCTCATTGTCATGAAGTAAAACTGAACCAACTGCTTAGTAGTATGTTCGTTGTTTAACTTATCGATGATCAACTCGCCTACAACATAGATTATATAATTTTGCAATGGATAAATGAAAATTAGCATTAAAATCATTTTGTATCTCTTCTTATTATATCACCACTAATTTATTTGCATATTTCACTTCATTCATTAACAAATTTATCTTAACATTCATAATCAATCATTTAGGTCAGACTAAAGAGTTATATACAATTGTCTCAGCTTACTATTGGACATTTTATCATTATAGTACATATCTAACTCTTTTCAGCCAAATAGAAGATTAAATAATCACTTTGTAACAGTTAAATAAATTCAGAATTGACTATATTCTATACCGTCTCTCCCTCTCCTGTCAATCGGCATAACCCATTTCAAACTTTAATTTTTATTCATTACTCATTAGTTTTGTATTAATTTTATCATTATGATTGTGATTTACTGCTCTCCCTCTCTCTCTTTTTCCCTACAATTTAAATGATTGAATAATGATTTGTTTCTTTTCATTGTATTTCTGATATGTTTTCATTGCTTTACAGTTAAAATAAATTTACACTTCCTATACAAAGGTTTGTACATTACTGTTTGTGTGTGATTTTCACTGGTGGTATGTGTTCATATTTGGGGCGTGTTCTCTTTCTGCGGGTGTGTATCATTTTGTTATTGTGTTTTACAACAATTGATTGATAATTGTTTCTAGTGTATTCATGGTTTTTATTGTTTTGTATCAGAAGGGGTTTTGTGGAGATTGTAGTAATTTCAGTGGTGCAGATCATGAGTCAATTGAAGCTAAACCACCATGGAAAACCTATAAGCACTGGGCGGTTGTTTCGTCCTATTGCGGGATTCTTCAGCAGTGCGCATCCATGACCCCGGCTTGTGGGATTCGAACCCAACACCTATCGGTCTCGCACCAGGCGCTTAAACAACTAGACCACTGAGCCGGCATCCAACGATGTTAATGTCTAACTTCAACTAATCTACGGAATTGAGCGACACATCCACCACTGTCATCAGTGAGTTACTACCTCACAGTTGACCCAGGTAAACTCCACTGGTTACTGCTTCTCACTAGAACTCCAGGACATACCTGTTGAAGCCAGTCACTAGTGAGAATATTTTGATTAGTATCAGAAGGGGTTTTGAGGAGATTGTAGTAATTTCAACAGTTATTCATTGTTTTCGTTTTATTGTTTTTTTGCTAACTATGATGTTTCACGTTTTTTTTGTCACGAGTGTTACTTCATAGCTTACCCTCTGTTTTCTTTGGGAAATATCTCTCCGTGTATATCAACCCAATGTAGTTGAATTTCGCTTGACATGATTGTTATTGTCAGTAATAAATAATTTTTCAGTTTAGAACAAAGTACTTATCAAAACCATGTCGTGTCAGTACCATAAGTTTTGTAAAGATCATTCGTTTTAAAGGTATTTTATTTCATGGATATACTTTGATTAAACAACCAGTTAAGAAATATGGAAAACTGGTTAACTGTTCACCAAGTTATATTATAGATGTATATCCCTTAGATGATTGTGCTCGATTTCAAGGAATAGCATATCTCTGCATCTGTCGGATAATCATTTACTCAATCACTAGTATGTACTCACCTCGACCGTTGTTGCTACCTTGACGTGGTGGTTGGGCTTGTCTATCGTGATGAAGCAACCGAGCTATACTGGTTGGAACAACCGTTCATCAAGGTCCCACCATGTCAGAGAGGTCGGTCGACGAGCGGTAAGACTAAAAGCAACAAACCCAAGGTCCGAAGGCGAATTCGTACTACTGACTGTAGGGGGATGTGACAGCAGTAAGGTGTTTCCTTCAAACAACCAGCATGACAGCGATGCTGCCTTCCCACAAGGAGGGGAGGGGTTAGAAAAGGTCGACCCTAAAAATGCACACCTCGCCTTATCCCATGGATATTCGTCTTCGTTGGTAAGGTCTCAACAAGTACAGAGCTAACACAAAAACTACTCATAAAAGGGTCGTGTGTAACCGACCTCAAGCAGTTGTCCCCAAATGCCCTGGTACGGCCGAGAGTGGGGAGAGTCCGCTCTCCCTCTCGAAATACTCTCACACGGCCACGCGTATATAGCCTCTGCCAGGGAAGTCTTACTCACGGCCTTCTCGTGGCGGGGGTGTTGTTTACGAAAATGAGAGGACGAAAAGCGAATGTCCGGCGCTTTAACCGGATCCCAAACCAATGGTGCACATGGGCTCCAGTATCCTGCGGGAACAAATGGCGAATGAACCAATTGTTGGTCACCGGCTTCCATGGGACTGCATCTCCTTACGATGCTTCACTGCCTTGTGGATCAGACCTTCAGGTTGAAGGCTTGGGGTGTGACTCGCTAAGAAAACCGCCTGGTTCGGTTTGGGCACCCGGGGAGTATCACAGCCCTCACACATATCGAATGAGACTTGTGTGGCGCATATGTATTTGGTGCCTCTTTGTACCGTTGTCTATGTGTTGAAATAAATAAATAATAAAGGCACTGCTGTCACGCTCTCAGGTCACTAAGACCACGTCTAATCCAATTTCCTTTTCAGGTACCTCCAGAAAAACCCTTCCACGGTGTAGGCAACCGGGAAGTGATAACCGCCCTCATACCTCTAACAGCACTCAAGACCACTGTATTCATAATCAACTTCCCTTTTCAATTCCTTGTAGCTGACTGTGTATGTACTCATCAACATCTATCACCTATCATTCCGCCTATAGTTGATATGTTTGGTTGACTCTTTATATCAAATATCCAGACTTTAAGATTCCAAATCACTGATTAAAAACGATTGTTCTCATTTCAATTGTAAAAATCCATAAAATCAGATTTAGTCTACATTATATTTGCACATTGTTGAAAAGTTTCATACTGAAACAGGACTTCTTTGTTTGCAATCGTTGTTTTTCTAATATTAAACACCTCATGAAAATTCTCTTTAAATACTTTATATTCATGATCTTAACTATTGATATAACATTTATTGTTTGTTTTATATTTTGATATAGAAAAGCTCGTCAAAGTCCACCAGTCTTTTCATGATCTCACTTATCATTATAAAATTATATAACAATACATTCTATAGAAGGTATAAAACAAAAAGGGGTAAACTATATTATTCATTATTATTTTAGATGTTTATTGTGAATAAATGAGTCCTAATTGCTTTATCTTTTAATCTTTAGGCTGTTGTTGTTTATTTGTTTATTATTTAAGAAAAACAAAACAATAACACATATCATTTTTAATGTTTATTATTATTATTATTTATTATATATATATTTTTTTAATTTTTTTTTCTTTTTGGACAAGACAACAGACCCCCCCACCCCCTCCTATTTCCAGTTGTTTCTAACTGGAAGTTTCTCTTTTTTTCTTTTCTTTTTTTGTTGTCTTATTTTTATCTGTAAAATTATTTAATGAATGTGTACACAATACTGTACTGTGAATAATAACTAATCAATGATTATAATAAAACAAAATGAGAAAAAAAGAACAACACATATACTGTTGAAATTCAATTGTTTTATTATATTCTTTGTATCTATGTTAGAATGCCATTTAGCTTATACAACATATATGTAGAGTAGTAAACAAAATAGACCAACCGTGTTTGAAATTTAGCCCCCAAATGCCCTGGTATGACCGAGAGCGGGGTGGCTTCGCCCTCCCTCTCGAAATACTCCCACACGGCCACGCGTATATAGCCTCTGCCAGGGAAGTCCTACTCACGGCCTTCTCGTGGCGGGGGTGTTGTTCACGAAAATGAGAGGACGAAAAGCGGATGTCCGGCGCTTTAACCGGATCACAAACCAATGGTTCACATGGGCTCCAGTATCCTGCGGGAACAAATGGCGTATGAACTAATCGTTGGTCACCGGCTACCATGAGACTGCATCTCCTTACGATGCTCCACTGCCTTGTGGGTCAGATCTTTAGGTCAAAGGCTCGGGGTGTGGCCCCCTAAGAAAATCACCTACTTCGGTCTGGGCACCCGGGCAGTATCACAGCCCACATACAGACAAATGATGGTGTGGCGCCTATATATTTGGCGCACTCTTGTACCAATATTAATGTGTTCAAATAAAATAAAAAATAACCTAAAGTGTTAGGGCTTATAGAACGCTTAAAACCTATTATCTTGTGTTGGAATACTATTACTATGTAAAGCTAAAGGTTTCATATAAGACTTCAGGTTCAACCATTGATCATTTTGGATGGTTCAGTTATTGCTTTGGTAAGTTTTACTAAATGTTCATGCACAAAATTGGTGTGTTGGTTAATCGATTTCATTAATACTGGTAGTTGATTTTTTAATGTTCTCAAACAGTCCTTGTCATTGTGACATTGTAAGGCATGTCGTCATTGCTAACAATAATGAGTTTGACCGTCGTCTAAGCAGAATGTGTCATCTTTGTCCTCTTCGTGATGTGTATAATTGATACATGCGATCTTTGATCGGAATAATTATTATACATGTGATGTGAATGTTTATAGGAATGGTGCGAATAGTCCACCAGGGTGCTTTGTACCTGTGTGCTTGTGTCACAGGATTGAGCTGTACTATTCAGATCGTATTGTTAAACCCTATATGGTATCTGGTACTCCTGTGAAGCGGGATTGAGCTGTACTGCTCGGTTTATAATATTTAAGCCTGGGCGGTATATGGCTCTCCTGTCAAGAGGGCGGCCTGCTTGAGCATCTGGGCTACCTGTTCCTGTCATCTAGATATTTCAACAACTTATCTATTTTTGTTTGTTTTAATATATCATTATGTTGATTAATCGCATAACCTATTCTGCTGCGTTTCTGAAAAGTGTACAACCTTTCGTTGTCAAAGTTACAAAAAAACTCAGTAAGAGACAATGTGGTTGCTGACAATATACAACGAAAACAATGCACATTATTCAGATGTTCATTTACTGAACTGCTAACATCTAACTGGCGATCACTCAATATTTATCACCAGGACTGACCAAGAAGAAAGAAACGGAATACTTTACGCTGAGAATTCTATATTGTAGCAAAAATCTAATATTGAATAAAGCTAATGATAATAATAATAATTGAGCTTTACTGGTCGGGTTGTCACGTAAGAGTCTGGATGGTGTCTGGTTCTCCTGAAAACCAATGTAAAATGAGCCTGGCTCACAAGGGTATATTATATGACTAACTATAACGTTAGAATGACTTGCTGTTCTTTTTTGAATAAATAGTGTTTATAAACAAAGATAGTTGGTAGCTAGTAGTGGAATTCAAGATGCACGTTTCGTCTTATTTGACTCGGTAGACCGAGAGGTTCTGTTGCAGTATCTGTCACTGAAAGGCGTAACTCAGAAGTATATAAACCTTGTGAAGGTTCTTTACTCGAACACTACTAGTCAAGTGAGAGCTTATGGCGCAGTGTCACCTGGTTTCACAACCTCAAGTTATGTCTGTCAAGGCTGTCCACTTTCATTATTTTTTTTGTTCAGCTTCATCATAGATATCCTACTGTCCACTACTAGCCACCAAATATCTTTGCTTAGAATGTTTGGGAATTAAGGCAATATCGAAGCAATCCATACAAGATTCCTATATACCAATAAGAGACTGATCAATTACAGTGTTAAACATCAATAGGAAGATTTGAACAAACAATACCAAATGAAACTGTTACAGAATTCAGTTTTGAATGCAGTAGATTCCAATTTTATTTAAACAATCCGGTATTAACACTAACCTACGTATTCATAAAAGTTATAAAAAATTCCTTCTTATTCTTCAATGAAGTATAAATTTCATCAATTGATTAATGTTGAACATTAACACCGTTGAATACTGGCTTAGTGGTTCATCAAAATGAAGATTCTGGGTTCGAATCGTGGGTGAACACTGTTAATGGAGTCCCATACTAGAATGAAATAGTTATCTAATGCTTTTAGGTTTCCATTGGTTATCTAACTTAAATCCATTCATGAATTCAACTATTAAGATATAAGTTTATTTTTTTCCTGTATATATTTTGTTTCTATGACTAATTTATATATTTCCTCTTTCTTAACCCTATTTTTATATACATCTATATGTTTATTATTTTGTATGGTTTTATACTTTTGATTAGTTGCTAGGTGACTTTAATAAAGTTTTTTTTATTGGAGAGTACTAATTGTTAATACAATTCATGTTATAATATTTAAGTTATTTAGTGCTAAATTTGTATTATTATATTAGAAACTGGAACTCAGTATCTGATTTATCATCAAATAGCAGGCTACTTAATTCCTTTAATCTTATCAACTGTTCTACAGTATTTAATCAGTTAATTAACTTTCATTGGTATGTTGTATAAAACATGAATTGTAACTATCTTTGTTGATGACATTCCAAATGGAAGATCTTTGGTTCAAATGGTGGGACTATAGTGTCTGAAAGAATCTCAAATGACCTTGAAAGTTACTAACCAATCAGAGAACGTCTAGTATAGAGTAAAAATATATTATATAAAATTAAAGTGAATACACTTCTTATAAATGGTTCAAAACTTGTCAAGGTTAGAAAGAGGTTCTAAAATCGTAATATATACGATAGTATAAATCATCTATATGGCTTCATAATAGTCCGTCTTTTGAGCTGTCTATGATAAAGTCACAAAAACGTATTCAGCCAAATAGCTTCAGTATTTATAGGTGTCATTACCAAGGTTTGATTTGATAATTTCGAATAAATTGAGCATTTGGTTCATTGTTATAAATAAAAATAATATATTTGTAATATCCCAATGAGTAGAAAATTGGATTTTCTGACGTTTCGTGACTTAGTGTAAGTCACTTCTTCAGAGAATAAATAACCAAATTAAAATTAATCCAAATTTAAATAGTACAACGGAACAATGCAAGAATAATAATTTTAACTTGGTTATTTATTCTCTGAAGAAGTGACTTACATTAAGTCACGGAACGTCAGAAAATCCAATTTTCTACTCATTGGGATATTACAAATATATTATTTTTATTTATAGCTTCAGTATTGTTTGTGTGCACTCCGATGGTTGGGCCCAGAAAATACCAATTGTGGATAAGGACACGATACACATAAACAAGTCTATGTAGCCATCAGTACGCTCTTTAATCATCCGTATATATTGTGGTATATGGTAGCAGCCAGTGTTACTAATGCTTTTATTATTCAGTTCGCAACATGTCATAATTTGCCTTAGTCTCAATCTGGATAGAGCGAAAAAATCCTATTCTAGCGGACTTCTTCCTCCAACACATATTAAATCGAAAAAAAACCTCATCACGGTAGTCTGCACAAAGTCCACAAGTTATTTGATCACCACAATCACAAATAAAGAATTTTTTTAGTAGTCCTACTTGTTTGTGGCCTACGATCCAGCTCGCTAGATTCGAACTCGTGGTCTTCGGTCTCGCACTCGAATTTTTAAACTCTACAGCGCTGAGCATCTATCGTGATTGTCTTTTCCATTAATAGAATTAACCTGCAACTTTATGGTGCTAAAGAAAGCCAAATATCGCTCAATAGCTTCCACTTATCATTTAGGATAGCTCTAACTAGCTCAGTATAGTAGTGATGATTTGCTTAGGAGTTTTTGAATTATAGTGATAATGAAGGAGTTGTATCAATTATACAGTATACACTGGATGGATTCATAAAAAAGTGTTCTATCCGAGTAAAGATTAAATAATGGGAAACTTCTGAAAACTATTCTTATTGTATTGTAGTGAACAAGAACACGGGTGGGGACAAACGGATGTATTTTAGCACAACAATTACAGACTATCTCAACAAAATCCGAATACCATATAGTAAATCGTCAATTTGCAAAATATTCATGCATCAAATAAAACTGGACTGTTACTGTTGCAAACACCAATCCATTGTCTCCTATTCCATTGTTCATGCATTTTCTTACAAATTCCATTGTGTTCTCGCTCTACCTTTCTTGATCTTCGCCATCTTCCGATGCCAGACATAACGTTCTTTTAACGCACGTTATATACTACCTATATCAATATAAGCAGCTCATACCACAGTATAACTGTATTGTGCCCCCAAATTCGAGATATCCTTCTATCAATAAAAGGACGAGTATACTGCGCGGCATTTTGTTCTGTTTTACTTTACGGCAGCGAAACATGGCCATTAAGAGTAGAAGACACTCGTAAGCTATTAGTATTTGACCACAGATGCCTTAGAAATATTGCTGGCGTCTGCTGGGATAACCGGGTAAGTAATAGTGAGGTTAGACGCAGGGTATTAGGGAACGGTGGTAACTCAGTTGATGAGGTTATGAATCTTCATCGACTGAGATGGTCGGGCCACGTGTTACGTATGCCTGAACACCGATTACCACGACGTGCAATGCCATCCGGTATTGGAAATGGTTGGAAGAAAGTTAGGGGCGGCCAAACCAAAACGTGGCATCAGTGCTTGAAGTCACTAACTTCTAGTCTGAGCCATGTTGGTAGATGCAGACTACTTGGTTGGGGTCCGTGTGACTATGGTAACCAATG